CAAAATAATGAGGTCTACCTGTATGTTGCTATCAAACAATATTTGAGGAACATTAGTTACTTGGGATTTGAATGGCTGCTTATTTAAAAAACGGGTTCTAAAATAAAAATCTGGTAAATGTGGACAATGATAGCTATGCAAAGTTAAATAGATGTTTGTACTGCAGAACTCAGGACCTTTAATAAGGTAATGGTGCCAGGAATCCATGAGCACACGGTGGGGTTGGAGACATCACTGTATTTCTCAAACTTGTTTGACCATGGCAGCTTTCCCCGCTCGGATCAGTCCATGAGACTGGTCTTCTCGTGGATCACATTTTGAAAAACACTGACTAGAGACTAAGATTCCCAACAACAAATCAGGGGTTGATTTTACACAAATGAAACAATGAATTAACTGGCTCTTCCCCAACTCTGCCATCATAGGTAAATGCCTGCTTTATGGATTCATATCATCTTCCTTTTTGAGATCACATTTTACATGTGGTTCATTTCCTGATGACAATACGTCTCAGAAAAACTTAATCATTGAGCCCTTTGCAATGTCTGTGCTCCTCCAATCTTATTAACCAGAAGAGCATGCTGCTGCTAGCTTGGGGTTTTATTTTGTTTGACAACAGGAAAAAGAGATAAAGATGATTCCCCTGTTCAGCTTGGTAGATTTTTAAGCAAAGCCTGAAAAAATAAAAAGAGCAGGCTCCTTAATGAAGGGTGTCCCAGATGGTCTCAGGATTCCAAGTCCTGCACAGGGAATGTAATCTTTCTGGGGCATCCAAAGTGAAACCTGACCACCGCAGCTTCAGATCTTGTGTTTTGGGAGAAGTGAAAGTGAAAAGGGGTCTGGGTCTCCAAATCTCGCAGAAGGAAAGAAGTTTCTTAGACCACTTACTTAACTATCCCTTTAACTCAAAGAACAAGAAGTAGTTCCGATAGTAAGAATTTAAGAAGAAAGGACAGCAATGGCAAACTTGTCTTATAAAGAACAGTAATGAAACATTTAGAATCCAAGGAGTAAGATGGGAAGGGAAATAGGAGAACCCACGTCTCACTAGGCATTTTTGTTTTTCATAATTTAAAAGCATCTTGGGGGGAGTAAATGAGTCATATAATCAGTCAATCTGAGAAGGACCCAAATTTCAGAAAGATTACAGATAAGAATCAACTGGAGAAAGTTACTTGGACCAGTATGGAGAAACCTGCAACATCCTAGTGAAAGTATGATGCTAGATATTATAATCTAACACATGACACTTTTGAGTATGAAAATGGTTACTACAATTAAATTACTAAAAGCTAATGTTATATATCTTTGAGATATTTATTAACCAATCAGTTTATTACATTGGTATTATTAAAATGTTCTCAAATATAGACTTCGTCCTAAAAAGTAAAACTTTCATGTATCTGTATAAAGTAAAAGAAGAAAAGAAAAAAGAGCAGAGGAATTTTTCTTGGTACATTCATGTACTTTAGTCATGTTTTTAGCCATATCCGTTCCTAATATCCTGTCCCTGACAGTTTTCAGAAGACTGTTTTTAATTTAGAAATACCCTCTCTTTTAGGCACTGAAATGCCTGCGAAGCCTAGAACAAATTCTGCTAAGTGGAAAGTATTCTTAACTCTAATTTTTTAAAATGCAAATATGTAAATATTTCAGTTCAAGTATTTTCATAGGAACTATTTTTTTCTATCAGTTCATAATATTATTCTTTCACAGATACTTTTAGGAGATGGAACTCATGACTGGGAGATTATCGCAACTTGTTTGGACACAATTATGACTTATGTGTGAGTCATAACCAATTCCAAAAACATTTCTGCTCCAAAGGCTTTGTAATTTAATACATGTTCTATTTATCATGATACCATGCACCATCAAGAACTATATTCATATCATTATCACAAAATACTTTTATTTTCAACAGTTTTAAGAAAGCAAAAGCATTTACCATTGAATTTTGTGTGGTTGATGATATCACTATGGCTACAATGGTGATGTTAAATATCAACAATTTTGTACAAGTTACCTATTACTGTTTACTTTCTTGAGAAAGAAAATTCAGTATTTAATTTTTTGTTAAACATGCATTTTCAGGTTTGTTTGTTTTTAAAAGCTTTTTATGGCCAAAAGGATTTACTGCAAAATAAATACATGATCAGGAAATAAAGCAAATAATAATAGATTTATGCCAAACAATAAATAATAAAGCCATTGAAGCCAAAGCTTTCAGACCACTATGGCAAGAGTGTTCAGTGGGGATTTTCTTCATGCACCTAACAATATCCTGTTGATCCTGCTGAATGACTTTCTGGTGTCTTAGTGGACCTCACAGCCTATAGACAGAGCACAGCAAGATTGGCTAATAACATCAAATAGATAGCAAAGGCAACAGCACCCATCCTTCTCTACCACCCTAGAGGCTGCAAGGAGTTGACTGTCCCTAGTCACTCTTGTCTGAGTAGACTGTGTATTAGCAGTGAGTGCTCACATGCTGTCTTTGAAAGGGAGATACAGTTATACTGCATCTGGGAAGGATCTGAAAGAGAGCTGAAACATCTTTCCGATTTAACAAAGTGGTAACGTGAGAAATCTGTTCAACTGCCCTGGCAGAATCTGGAAATACAAAAATGAAAGTCTATCAGATCCATCCTGGATCTTTTTGGTGGAGCTGTTAATAAGAAAGCTTCACTGAAAAATTAAAAAAAAAACTGGAGCAAATGTTAAACTGGTGGGATGCTAGCACAACAGGTGTAAAACCGAAGTGTCTTGGGCAAACTAGGACTTAGGATCAACCTATGTCTGGGGAAGACTTGTGAGAGGGAAATTAATAATCCTAGAAGTTTGCTGACAGTCTACAGACCTACTTGTTCTAACACAAACGATTTTTTAATGGGGTCAACCTCTAAAACTGAAAGCTTTCTCATTAAACAATTTCCTATTTCTCTTGAAAAATGGAAGACCCAGCAACACTGTGCCCATACTCCACAGGACAAGACGCTGTAGCCATTAGGCTGCCACCTGCCTCTCACTATTGTCCATAAGAATGGGAGCATAATTCTTCATGGAAGTGAAGAATAGTGTGTGTCTTATAATGCCAAAACTAATTAACTCACTCACTAACTCATGAACTGGAAGAATAAAACCTGGCTGGCTTCACACTGCCTGCCTGGTGCTGAAGTAATCTGATTTTGCACCCCACTCCCTACCCCCAACTCCCTTTATAGCTTGGTTAATTCTTCTGTTCTTTGTGTGCATTCTGCATAAAAGGAATTGAGAATTACACTGAATAGGACTCTAACCAGTGGAAATTTTCTCAGCTTCCTGGTCAGAATCCATTAAAAAATAATGTGTACATGGGATCTTCCAATGTTTTCCCCTCCCCCAGTCCCTTAATTTACACCCTAGAGCTGTGGTTACACTTAACTTCAAATGTGTATGTTTTGAGTTCCAATCCACAAAAGAGACCTGACCCCGGCATGCGTTATCTACTAATGGTTCTACATGATCTGGGTTGTCAGGGGTCATGAGGTATAGTGCACAGTAGCTAAGGGCCTGTGACTTCACAGCCAAACACTGAGTTTTAACCATGCTTCCATATACTTGCTTGGTGCCTCTCCAAACCTCAGTTTCCTTTGTTCTAAATAGAGGTAATGTTACCTTTGTCACAGCATTTTGCAAAGCTTAAATGTGATATTATATAGAACAGAGCAGAGGAACAAGCAGTAAACAGAAGCAGCCTGAGTCTGTACTTCAGGTATGATCCAAGGGGAATGATGGGGAAATGTCCTCAGTGAATGAGCTCTTTGGGAGATTTCAACTTTTGGAAATCTGCTCCAAAAATACAAAATAGTTTCTATGATGCCTCCCAACCTGCTATATAGCACTACCAGTTTCATATCTTAAGGAAATGGTGTTCTAAACCAGCGGTTCTCAACCTGTGGGTAGCGACCCCTTTGGGAGTCGAACGACCCTTTCACAGGGGTCACCTAAGACCATCGGAAAACACATATATAATTACATATTGCTTTTGTGATTAATCACTATGTTTTAATTATGTTCAATTTGTAACAATGAAATTGGGGGTCACCACAACATGAGGAACTGTATTAAAGGGTCGCGGCATTAGGAAGGTTGAGAACCACTGTTCTAAACTCTTAAATTATGGGTCACTGGTGATTATTTTACAGTTACAATGGTTTTTCAACCAGAAGCATGTCAACTTTAAGTAACATGTAAATTGTTTTCTTCTCCACAAGAAAGCCCAAATCTCACTATACTGCATTCATCTTGATGTCATGTTTTCAAAACATGCAAAGATCACAACCCGATTAAAACCTTTTTGAAGACATCTTTTTAAAGATGTATATGAAGAATTTACTTGGGATTATATATCCAGACATACTCTTCTCCTTAAATTCTGATGAGCTACAATGAATAGCTACAGTGATTGGTGATGTAGCATGGATCATGAAATAAAACCAAACCAAATCCATCTCTATATAACTCAAAAGAACTTAGCAAACTGCATTGCTTTTTCAGGAAGATAAAAATGCATATTGCCTCTTTTATGTGTTCTTAGCTACATATCTATTTTTGAAAAGGTTTCATGTATGTTCTAAATTTAGCTCCTACTTCCTTTTTACTGTGCAATCGGAGCTACAGTCCATCTCTGATAACATGCTGATCTTTACTCCAAGGAACATATATGGAAACTGCCTCTCAGAAGGAAGATAACCTTTCACTAACCTCTTCTGTGCTTGTGGACAGTATGAGATGACCCTTTCTTCCTGTCCCCAGCTTCTATGGACATCATCTACATATATTTTAAGTAGTATTTTAAAATTCCCTTTACTTGGTGGGAGAAAATTTCATCCTTTCTAGAGCTTCACCATCTTTTATTAAACAGATCTCTTGCTAGGAAAATATAAGTAAGAGAAAGAAACATCTCTTTTTGGCTAAGGAAGAAGATGGAGTGGAGAGAAAACAAAAAGAAGGGGTGGACCCTCCGGTTCCCTTTCCCATCGGATCCGAACACCGATCTTGATGATCGTAAAAGGAAGGAAAGTAATACTGAAGCTGGCCTCACAGTGCTTGTAGTCTGTGAGCTAGTTTCAAACATCGTAAAAAAAAAAAAAAAAAAAAAGGAAGAATGAAAGAAAGAGAAAGAAAGAGAAGAGGTGGTATAGGGAATTGGTGTGTGGAATGAGGTTAAACACAATGGCACTCATACAGAGATTTCAGAATAGTTTATCTGGGTTAATTACCATTCTATGAAATGTTTTTCACTTTTTATTCTCCATTCATTAATATCAGACTTAAGAAAGGTAAATTATATAGTGATAAAAATTTGGGGGAATGAAGGGAAAATTTTAAGCAATATATTCAAAATTATAAGCAGAAACAACCTAAGTGCATAGCAGTAAATGTAACTGCCCAGAAGTTGTTGAAGGAAATCATTAGTCACATAGAGCAGTAGCCCCTAATTAAATTGCTAAGCAACAGAACTGGTGAAGAAAGTATGTATAGTGAAGCCTCAGTCTCCCAAGAATCCTATTCATTCTCCCATTTAAGCCTTTCCTTATATTCTTATCTTCTTGAAGCATTCACAGTGTTCATAAACCATTTGTTGAACATAGGGCATATATTACTGGCACTGCTATTTAACTGCTCCGTATGTGTACAGGGCAGCAATTTACAAAATATTTCTTATATTCTAGCACAATGCTAAGGCTACTTAATAAGTACTTCTGCAATAGAACATAACTGTCTACTTTCTAATATATTTCTCCAGAAATGTGATCTCACAAGACGGTGGATAAGAAGGAGTAACGACCAGCATTGGGCAGAGGAAGCAGTCCAGGAAGTTGGGAGGCCTGGCTGGGGCTCCTAGGCTCCTGGGCTAGGCTCCTAGCCTTTACTAGTTAAGTGTTGACCCCTGTAACTGAGTTATTGTTTTAGAGAATGCTGGTGATGCCTTGCTCTAATAATTACACACTCAAATATAAGTTGGGGTGAAATTAAAGTATTTAACCAGAGGTATGCATGGGCACTGGCCAAACAGCTCAGAGCAGGCTCTGGACTTGCCCTGCCACGCCTCACAGCAACCTTTTGGCTGCTGGGCCACATAGAAGCCAGGAGTGTCCCAGGGTAGAAGCAGGGATGCTGGGGTCACTCAAGGAACTTGAGGCAGTGGCTTTAAAATATTATAATTTAAAATTTTTAGTACTGGTACCGTATTAAAAATGGGTAAGAACTGAATAGCAACTCAGCCTATATGTAATATCTTTGAATCATAAATATGTTAATTTTATTCAAACGTTATTATTCTCATCTGATGGCACAGAACTGCTTACAGAGCTCGCAATAAAATGAAAATTGAAATTCCTACCACACTATTGATAATGTATCTTTTTTATTTCTCTTCTCCCCATACCTCTAATTCAACATTTTTTAACTCCTTGCCTTCTCCACAACAGCATTAGATTATTTTGCAATGAGAAGCCCAATCGTTGCTATGTTTCCTGCTTTGCTCAATAACTAAAACATCAAGTCCAAGAACAGACTTAACTCTTATCTTGGTTCTGTCGATGAGGAAAAGTGCTTTTGTTCACAATAAAATTCCCTGTGACCTGCTACAGCAATCATGGTCCTGTCCAGGAGCCTGTGGCCCCTCTGAACACAGCTGCATCTCAGGCAGGCCAGTAACTTGAGAGCCCAAGAGGATGATGCAGCAAACAGTGGGGAGGGTGGATGTAACCCTCTACTACAGTGGTTCTCAACCTTGGCTGCACATTAGAATCACCTGGGAATCTTTTTAAAATCCTGATTTCTGGGCCTCATCCTCCGTTTCTTTATTATGGGGTGGGGCCACAATATTAGTAACGAAGAAACAGAATTTCCAGAGGATGAGGCCCAGAAATCAGGATTTTAAAAAGATTCCCAGGTGATTCTAATGTGCAGCCAAGGTTGAGAACCACTGCTCTACTAAGTAGTAAGGTGTATTAGTGGTACCCGGTGTCATGTCCATACTTGGATGAACATTATAACCACCTGGGGGACTTTAAAAAGCTCTCCTGTCTGGGTCCCAACCTTGGAGATACTGATTTAATTGGTCTGGGAAGTGGCCCACGTTGCTCACGCTCCCTTGGTGGTCTCATGTACAGCCACAGTTGAGAGCAATGGTGGATACCTGTGGTCTCCAGCGTAGGGGACACATAACCCACCCACAGGGTGCAAAACAACCTGTCAAAACCTCTGTGTTTAACCTGAAAAGGAGATAGATAATACGTTTTAGCTGTATTTAAAGGATGGGAAAACGACGACACCCTCATGCATCTGACGGCCGTGGGTGGTGTCCAGGAGTCCTGAGGGAAAGGCAGGGCTCCTGAGAAATCCTTTCTCCATTCCTCTCAGTGTGTGGCTACACAGCTCCATTATGTGTCCCCAGTTGGTAATTCTCAGATGCGCTTATCGGAAAGAGTAGAATCCTGACAACAGTGTAGAATGAGAAGGGGAAGAGTCAGGGAAACACTGTGAGCCATGAGAGGGTTCCTAATGATGTGATGGCAAACCACTTACAAGAACTGTATGTTTTTCTTTTTCAAAATGACAAGTGTTTCAAATATACTGACCTTTTTTAATTTTTGCCATGACAAGGGGGTGGAGATATTTTTAAAAACATAAACACATTTAATCGATCTTGTCAAGGCCAGAGAGAGAAATCACTAGGGAACTTGTGCTGTGAAAAGAGCATTTTGAAAATGGGTATTTGGAAACGTTGCCATTGTGGTGTGGTCTGGCTGTCAAAACCAATGTAAGGTGTGACACTCGGAAGAAGAGAGCTATCACATGTATAAACTTTAAAAATGTGGGGGGAAATCTTTTCAAGAAAGAGTTACAGTGGGTTTTTAACCCACTCATTAAAGATGAATAATGTAACACCTTTCAACTAGTTTGAAAGAAGAGCTGGTGGAGATATCAGTGAAGATGGAAATTTACTAGCAAAATTTCAGTTAAAAACCTTTGCATAACTGATGAATGGGACTGGAAATAAGCACTATGATTTAGTAGGCACAGCCAATGGGACAGGTCCTTCCATTTACAACTATATATCTTGTGTGATACCCTTTAATTTATGAGGCAATAAAAATATGTACTAAATCAAACTGAACTTATAACCAGACCGCTGAATCATTGCCACAAAGAATCAAATTAGAAACAACAACATTCAAATGTTTTACATTACAAAGGACTCAAAATTTTGTTAAGCATAATTTCAATAAAAACCAAAATAATTTTTATCGATGGGGTACATGATCAATACAAGGAGTATTTAGTCAGTCATCCCAAAATCAGTGATCTGAAATGAGAGAGGACGTTTGCACTGGAGATGATAGACCCTGGTTACCTGTTGGGTTGGGAGTATACCAGAGGGAGGTAAGGAAAAATTAGGAATTCTGTCCTATAGAGTGAGCCATGAAGAAACTTCTGGAATCTGCTAAAGACTGGTTTAGTGATCAAGCATAACTGTGTCAGCAGGCAAGTATACATACATTTCACCAGTTCCATGAGCCTGGGGAGAAACTGTGCCTCTTATTTTCATTGTCCCAGTGTCTCATATTATGGTTTTGTATGGTGGGCGCTCAATAAATGCTGTTGACAACAGCCAGTTATTTTTTAGTGAAAAAACTATACGATCTCAGTAGTGTGGCAATAGGATCCACTTCCACTAATTCAACATCAAATCACCATTCTTACAGCCGACAATAAGTTGTGCTGATATAATATCTACAATGGTCAGCCACTAGAAACTGGAAAAATTATTAATTAGTATCATTGCATAATAAAAAGTCTCTGTTAAATATAGTACAGTGGGAAACTATGCGACAGTGTTCTGAGCCCCAGAAGACACCCACTCTCAATCTGTTAGAATTATGTTTCACACTCCATGTATTAATATTTGGTTTAGTTGCTGGAATCACTAAATATCCTGATCTTAATATTACTGTGCATATAAAAATGCCCCTGTGATATAATGGAAACTGTTACATAGAGATTACATCTCAGATCACGGAAACACAGTTTCCGCTTTTGTGAAATATTATCCTGAAAAGCAAATCTTTAAGGAAATGGAGAAACTACAGGCAATAAGTATTCATGAACATTTTTATGTATGCATACAACTCCCCTTGGGTTCCCTTACAGTGCCAGGGTCTCCTGTGGCCTAAACTAGTTGTATGCAATGGCCCTCCTCGGCCTGCTCTCAGAATGCATTAACCAGCAGGAGAACTCCCCACAGGCTCCAGATCACGTGCTTCTCTCACCTGAGGTGCCTCTGCTCTGCATAACTGAGGAGATAGCACATGTAGGTCAAAGACATCCTTTGAAGAGATTTAAACCCATCCGACACCCCAGGCAGCATTTAGAGCACCTTTGTGCCCCCTCTTTTGCTGCTTTCCTATTTTTCAATCTGGGGCACAAATTTCTCCTGCCTCTTAATGTTCTCTTGTGCAGTCTCCATCACATGCAACTGTGCTGCTCATTTTATTGGAGTTGTCTTTTCTGCCCGCTTGCTGATTCATAATGGAGAGGACCTGGAAAAGGGACACAGTATAGCTACACTAGGTTCCACCTATCAGGACTCTGGTTTTTCCTGAAACCCAGAGTCCAGTAACAAAGCTCTTACTGCAGTTTATTCACAACATTATTTGGGTTGAAAGCTACGATACACACTGGAGATCCAGATCTGCAGAGCTGTATGTGTATCCTACACCGAGGTACAGCACCAGGGGTGGGAAGAAATGGATATGGAAGAGATCTGGCAGGAGATGCCTGGAGGCCCAGTACATGGTAACATAATGTTATCTGGGTAGGTGAATAACCACAGCACCCATTACGTTAATATTAAAATTTAGAAAAACACCTAGCAAACCCCCAAAACATGATCTTGGGAGTACCTAAGTCTGTGATAACAGGTATCACCTGTCCCCCTTTTTATTCAGGTTAACGGAATGCTTATTTCCCACTCCTTCAAGACTACTTTACCTTTAACATTATTCCTCCCATCATTTACAGGGTATGTGTGAAATATTTATTCTATTTAATATCTCAGCACCTATTTG